AAGAGATCAACTCTATATGAAGCGGCGACAGCGAAACCGTTTGGCGAAAGACTCTGACTTATCAGCTAAATCAAGTCCCGGACTAACTAGGGCTGTGGAGAGGCAATTTGGAAAGATAGTGACGGGCTCGCCCAGACCTTAGGAGGATGGAAAGGCGAAATCTTTAGTTTCGACTCCTTCTCCAGGTATAGCGCCGGGCAGCATTCGCGGGCGCAGAGGGCGAGACTCGGCTAGTGCAGAACTTGAAGCTCAGGTTTCGGGGAGCAAACGGATGGTTGAGTTGTTCCTTAACAGCCGCAAGCGCGAGACACCTCAGGTTACGCCGCTGAGTCAAAGCGAATGCTCACATCTTGCATTCCTGTGAGCCCACGAGTTGTATGAAGACCTAGGAAATGCACCAAATATGTAATTGGGAGGGTATGGTTAGCGCGCTTCTTGTTAATGTAGTAGTCGGTCATGACCATGTACGGTCGGGAGAAGGATTGCTTATATTACTCCTTGGTGGCGGACACAGGGATGAGGAATACTTTGATTTTATTCTTAATAGAGATGTCTACATCGATGGCCCAGGTATAGATCGAAAGGGGAAAAGGAGGACAGCTCTTATCAGTGTGGTTATATAATTTAGTCATTAATGTCACAGCCATGGGAGGCGTAATAGTTCATCTATGTAAGAGAGAGGGACATGCGTATCGTGGTATCATGTATAAGCCAAGCCGCCACCCAAGTAACCAATGATCCCCGTTATCCTCGAGTCTGGTCTATCCTTGTTTCGTTTCCGGACTGACGTGGACCTCCCACAGCTTGGCCATGGCCTTGGGGAAGTCCTTCTCCCTCTCCTTGCTCACCCACTTGCCGTACTCACGATGCGAGGCGGCCTCGGCGAGGACGGAGCCCTCCCTTACGGAGCCGGTGGGGACGAAGGCGAGGAAGTCGGCGGCGGCGGCGACGTACTCTGCGAGGGCACCCCTGACGTCGAGGCCGGCGCCGGTGGTCCAGCTGAGGAGGAGGGGCTCGAGGAGGGGCGCGTCGGTGACGCTGGGGTGGGAGGTGCCGACGGAGGTGAGGAACCACGCGGGGGAGGGGCTGGAGGCGACGAGGTCGCGGACGGTGTCGAAGTGGGGGCGGCCGTGGAAGAGGATGCTGGAGGGGCGGGACCAGGAGTTGGAGTGGATGACGAGGAGGGGCTGGGTGGTGTTGTGGTTGAGGGGGCCGGAGCCCTTGCCCGGGTCGAGGATGATGCCCGCGGAGGCCGGGAGGGTGTCGTCATCACCAGACGAGGAGGAGGAGGAGTTGGGGCCGGCGACGGTGGTGAGGGCTTGGAGGGCGCCTGTGGCGCCGTAGGAGTGGCCGGCGATGGTGAGGAGGTCGAGGTTGAGGCGGCCGGCCCAGGAGGGGAGGGTGGCGAGGGGCGCGCGGGAGTTGGGGACGTGGTCGCCGGCGTTGATGCTGCGGAGGAGGTGGACGGCGCCGAGGATCTCGGCGTCGCGGAAGGCGAGCTGGGTGTGCTTGAAGTCCGGAGTGTCCATGGCTTCGCGTAGGTCGGATTGGCGGATGGGGAGGACGCGGCGGCCCCGGTCCTTGGGGTCGAGCTTGACGAGGGAGCCGGGACATGAGCCGTCTCGGTGCTCGACTGCGGCGATGATGTGGCCGCGGCTGGCGAGCTCGCCTAGGAAGTTGGTGTAGTCGGTGCGGGAGCTGGCCATGCCGTGGGAGAAGACGGTGATGGGGAAGGTTGTGTTGTGGGGAGCATCGTCGCGGTGTTTGAGAGAGGTGGTGGTGGGCACGATAATCTCGTCTGCGCTGAGCAGTGGCGCATCGACCTCGGCGGGGATGGTGATGCCTCCGCCCACAGCCCAGAGGAAGAGAGTGAAGATTGGCCGCATGACGAAGTTGTCTACATGGGCGAGCTTGGCATATCCTGCCGCAGTCAGACTGACGGGCTTGGGGATCCAGTAGTACCGCGGCTTGGGGGAGCGGTAGGCGCGGCTGGTTGGATAGTAGATGGAGACGAGGACGGTCTCAACCTCGAAGGCGGCATCTCCGGAACTCTTGAAGGCGGCTTCTGAGATGCGCTTGGTGCCTCCGGGGAGGGGCACCTCAACATCGACGGCGCCGACACCGTATGTCCCCGTGTAGCCCGGCAGGTTGGAGGCGAGGAGCGGCTGGCGAGTGATGAGGCAGAAGAGGATGTAGAGGGTGACGAGAGAGGAGAGGATGTAGCGCCATGTCAGGCGAGGGCGGAGGAGGGGCCAGACTCTTGCGATGATTTTGGAAGGGAAGGCTCGGATCCAGGATCGGTGGCGGGACTGGGTGAGCCATTTGGGCTGCCGGTGATGGTGATGAGCGCCGAAGTCTAAGTCTGGCGATGAAGGCATGGACAGGGGAGCATCTGGTGCTGAGAGGATATCATCGGCCTCTTCATTGTCGATGAGTGCCTCCAGCTCAAAGTCTTCAGGGGGACGCATGGCTGCTGGTATCTATATGGTACAATATAAGGGAAACTGTGGGATTAACTATATGAATACATACTTGTACAAGGGCGATGAAAATAGGTGATGACGACGGCGATGAGCGAGGCCAGGCGATGACGATTTTGGGTGGAGGTTATGAGGGTCCCGGTTTTAGCGCTATGCACAGTGGCTGATGCAGATCAGAGAGCTGTGATTGGCTCGAGGCCGCTAAGAGACAGGCACATCCGGCAGGTATGGTAGACAGACGGTGATGTGTATTATTGTATGAATTGTTGGAGTAGATGATGGTGCATTGTGCAACGACTAAATTCTCAAATATAAAGCGATATACACCATCTATAGCCATCTATATCTATTCGGTAATATTGATGCGATGATGGCACGTTCCTGGCCAAATCTCAGGTTGCAACATGCCTTTCTGGTCTCTACAAGGAAGCTCAATACTCGTAGCCATTCTCGAGCCTTTGCCAAGTGGCCATCCGCCTAAGGGTCCCATGGGGACTGCGCTCTGCGTCCGGTCAGAGGCACTCCGCCAGTCTCGGTAACGAGGATCGGATCCTCCAGCCTGACACCGAAGCCAATCTCCTTACCCACCAGCCCTGCCTGCTCCGTTGTCACGTATATGCCCTGTCATCACATCAGTACTTATCGTAAAGAAAATCAAACACGGGGGGGTCTTCTTACCGGTTCATTCGTCGCAACCTCACCAGCCTTCAACTTGTGGGAGTTGGCGCCGTTCAGATATGGCGGCTCGTGCATCTCGAGACCAAGACCGTGGCCCAGACGATGCGTGAAGAACGGACCGAACCCAGCCTGCTCGACAACAGCCCTCGATGCCGCATCGACGTCGGAGCACGTCTCATTGACATTCATGCGTTCAAAGGCCGCCGACTGCGCCGCGTGGACGGTGCGCCAGATGCCCATGAGGTCGTCGCTGACGGTGGCCCCGACTGGGAGGATGGTGCGCGTCACGTCGCTGCCGTAGCCGTGGAGTATCGACCCAATGTCGATGAGGACGAACTCGCCGTCCTGCAGCGTCCGACCGCTCTCGCCGCCGTGCGGGTATGCGGCCTGGTGGCCGAACAGCACGATCGACCAGTACCCTCTGCCCACGCCGGCGCGGGCGAAGAGGCCCTGCGCGGCGTCCACCACCGCCTCCTGCGTCGCGCCCACCCGGATGCACTTTTGCAGCGACCGGACCAGCTCCAGCGTGAAGGCGTTGATGCCCTTGAGGATTGCGATCTCGGCGCTGGTCTTGGCCGATCTCAGCGACTGGACGGCGTCGGACATGGGGACGACCTCCACGCCGGCCTGCTGCAGGCCCGCCACGATCATGTACCTGGCGTGCTCGTCAACCATGACCCTGGATAGGCCCGCGGTCCGCACCAGAGGATCGTAGGGCGACTCCTCCTCGCCCCAGGTGATGGTCGTCTTGGTGTCGTAGACCATCTCCAGCTTGGCGATGCGCCCGACCTCGAACTTGGGCACCAGGGTGGTGAACTGACCGTGCTTGTCAATCACGACCAGGAAGGGCCGCTCCGAGAGGTCAAAGCTGGAGGAGACGTTGGCGTAGTAGGTGGTGGACGCCGACGGCTCAGCGATGAAGGCATCCACGCCGGCGGCCTCGAGGGCGGCGGCCAGCGTGGCCTGGCGCTGCAGGAACTCGGACCTGGGGATGGGCGGCACGTCGAGGTGGCGTACGTGTTGCTCGAGGTGCGACCATGCGCACGCCTCCAGCTCTGCTGTCGGGCTGGAAGCCTCCTCGGGACCATCTTCCGGTGGCAGCAGGCTGAGCATGGACCAGGAGCCGAGGACCAGGAGGAGCAGCGCCCAGTATTTGGCGCATCGACGCCTCTGCCGCGGGGTTGGCGGTGGAATTGGAGCAGAATCTTGCGATCCTTGCAGAGGCTGCTTCTCGAGGGGGTAATTGGCCGCCATGGTGATGATACTGACTGTTTGCCAGTAGTTCAGTTCCGGCTCGTCAACCCGATGGTGTCGGGGCGATGTTATAGGAGGAACCACAGGATGATACGTGCTGTGGGGATAGTTAAAAGATAAGCATCAGGTAATCAGATCTCTTAACTTGCCCAACCGGGATCTGTCTGAAAATGGTAAGAATATACGACATATTCTGCTCTACTAATCTGCGTATCATTAAAAAGCACATTAGGTCTAATAGCCTTCTGTTGCCGGTGCTGCAAGTTACACCTATTAATAAGATAAGGTAGTTAACTACAGACAGTCTTGTTGGATGGACGGGCCAGTTAAGAACAGTAAGAGGTCAATTTCATAGCTATAAAATATATCGTTATCAACATGTATTATGATTTAATGTAAGATTTCTTTCAGAAAGCAAAGCCCATATGCACCGCTCCGAGTGATATGCAAAGCTAAATCCAAAAAATGCAACACGGAGAAGCATATCCCAAAAAAACTCCCTAATGACCCATTATGCTAACCAGCAGCCCAGAAAACAAAACATGTCCTTTTGTTTTTTAAAAAAAGAAGAAGAGATGTACGCTATGCTCATGTCTCCTCGATCTCGTGATACCGCCACAACCGCTGGCGGTCCTTCCTCCACCACTTGCCGATGGCCTCGGCCTCCTTGGCCCACTCGACCGCCCCCTCGCCCATGTCCTTCTTGACGCTCTTGAGCAGGTCCTTGAACGTCCAGGCCGTGAGGGCCTTCTCCTCCTGCTGGTCCTCCTCGAGGTTGCTCAGGCTGTACTCGAACGTCTTGTCGAGGGGCATCACCAGCCTCCACGGCGAGTCGGCGCTCGTGACGGCGAGCATGCCGGCGCCCGAGTTGGTGATGCCAAAGTTCCACGCGCGGCGCCCGTTGTGGCTCGTCTTGTAGGGCCGGATCAGGGACTGGCCCTCGTAGTCCTGGATCAGGTCGGAGGCGATGGTCTTGTCCTTCTCGTTGAGGGAGCCCGAGTTGATGAGGAGGTCCAGGATCGTGGGGAGCGTGGAGACGGTCGTCGCGTTGACATTGTACTGGTACCGGGGGAGGTGCGGGTGTCGGAACGTGATGGGGACGCGGTAGTTGCTGATGTGGCCGTTCTCGTACGTGCCCGTCTTGCGGGCGTCCTCCTTGAACGCCTGCCCGTGGTCGCCGGCGAAGACCATGAGGGTCTCGTCGGCGATGCCCAGCTCGTCGAAGATCGCCATGAGCTCCGCCATCCAGAGGTCGTGGAAGCGGATCGTGTTGATGTACTTGTTGAAGTCCTTGTGCCAGTTCTGCATGCCGCTGCTCGGCATGTAGTCGGTCATGTTGAAGTAAGAGGGAAGCTCCCAGGGGTGGTGGGTGGTGCTGGTGAAGTGCGCCATCATGATGCGCTCGTTGTTCTTGGTCGCGTTGGTGAGGTACTCGGTGATGTAGGGCTTCAGGATCGGCTCGGCGAAGCCAAAGTAGCCGATCTTCTGGCCCTCGCCGCTCGTGACGTTGCGCTCGATGTCGTCCTTCAGCTCGGCCTCGCACACCCGGTCCTCCAAACCAATCTTGCGGTCAAACTTGTCCATGTGGTCGTAGCCCTCCGTGACGGACATGAAGAACTTGGGATGCCACTTCCACTCCCTGTAGTCGTCCGATTTGCTGTCGTCGCTCTTGAACTCGTTCATTAGACCCATGATCTGCGGCAGGCAAGGCTGGTAGCTGTCCGTCGCGTACTCCTCGAATTTCTCGACAGGCATACCCCACGTGCCGCAGAAGTTGGTCCCGAAACTCTTTGTGGACATTGTCGAGCCCGTCGTTCCTCCAACGATGTTGATACCTCCGAAACCCTCCTTGCTGGAGTCTTGCCATTTGAGCTTCGAGCGCTCGTATGAAGATCCGTTGGCGGCCCTGAAATTGCCCGCAACACCAGTGATCATCTCGATATGGGGTGTCACATCCGCAAGGCGGCGATTCATCTCGTCCCTCTCCTCCTCCTCGTTCGCGTTCAAAATGTTCTTGTGGATGAAAGAGTCTTGCTGCAGCGGGAAGAGCTCTTCGCGCAAGCTCTCCATCAGGATATACACAACATGCTTAATCTTGACTGAACCGTCCGACAGAGCTCCTTTGAGGGGCTTGAGGATGTCGTTGTCCAAGTTCGAGATCTTCAATGGGTCGTCAACTGGGTTGTAGAAAGGTGAGTATTCAGGGATGCTTGGGCACATCTGCTTCTTCATCCCCTTAGGATGATGATGTCCCCCGTCCCGAGGGAAATGTCCAAATGGAGACCGTGGAGGAGGAGGAGGATGTCGACCGAATGGGGGAGGCGGAGGAGGGGGGAACGGGGGAGGATGATGGTGACCGAACGGAGGAGGCGGTGGCGGCGGAGGAGGAGGAGGGGGGTGATGCGGGTGATGAGGACCTCCTGGTCCATGATGATCCCAAGGTCCTCCAGGTCCCCCAGGCCCCCCAGGCCCGTGATGTCCCCCAGGTCCGTGATGTCCGAAGGGAGGAGGCGGGGGAGGAAGACCAATCTTCTCGAACCGTCTAGGATCCCATCTCTCGAATCCTCGGTGAACCTCCTCGGGCATCCACTCAGGACTCCAATATCGGTAATTGAGGACCTGCTCGTTCCGCGAACCAGGGGCCCAGCCCCTGAAGTGCTCGTTGGGCGCCTCCCAGTTCTTTTCGGAGAGAAGATGCGGGAAGGGGAACGGATTAACGTGAATTCGTCGTTGCTCAGAGCAGTAGTCTGACTCGGGCCTGAAGATGTTAAGCATTGACACTGGCAGGGTGACCGTCATGTGGTCGTATGGCCGGTGAGGGCGAACAATCAAGGCGACTAGGAAGAAGAGCACAACGGCCACCCTGATCGCCCACCAATCTCGCATCTGGATCATCATACGTGCCAATTTTCCTTGGCTACCACCCTCCTCGTCCTTCTCGGAATCCGAATCAAGGCTGCTTGGGAGGTCCGAGTTGACGGACCCGACTTCCGACTCCTCATCGTGTGCTGGTCCCCTGAGGAGATAGTACTGTGTCTTCCGGATAATGAGGAACTGGGCCCTTTGGCATCTGATCAGGACGAACTGCGCGACTGGGAATATGAAGTTTGCGCCAAGTGCCGCGTTGAACACGCCCACAACTCGGTAACAGAGGGTCTGTAGGAGAAAGGAAACACCCAGGAGGAGACCAGCGGAGGCGAGCACAGCCCAGCTGCCGGAGAGCAAGACCTTCAATCCATCCTTGTTGGTCGCGAACGAAGTTGCCTCTTGCCAGGCAAGCTCACCACCCGTCTTGTAGAAGAAACCCAGCTGCGAAGCGGCACCACACAAAGTAAATAGACTGTCGCGCGCAGGGGCAGAAAAACGTTAGCCAAATGTCTCTCCTTCACTCTCCCTCTTGTTTTAGTTTGGCGGTTTGGATTTTAGATTTAGCGGGTGTCGATCAGGGGAGGGTCTTGTCGCAGAACCTAAACGGCCCGGTGGGAAACAGGAGCGGTCACTTGGAGCAAATGCACCCAAACCGAAAGTTGGAGACAAGAAAAACCGAGAAGAACTCGTTTTTACCTGCCTAGACAGCAGAAGGTGTAGACGGGGGGCATTTACACAATACAAGAAGAGTCTGGAAAGAACTTACGAGATGAGAATGCCAATGATGAAGCCCAACAGGCTGAACCAGCCGCGTACAGGGTTCAGGAGGAATCTAAGAAAACATATTGCAATGAAGTCGAAGAGGAAAAACGTCGGCAGGTAGAAGACGAAGGCCAGGAACGGCACCGCGTGGAAGTGTGTACCGAGTGTGATGAATTTAGTGAATATGAGCGAGGAGCAGAAGCCCGTGAAGATGAGGGGGGCGAGCGGAAACGACAGAGAGAACATATTGGGCAACTCGAGGCCCAGGAATCTATCGAGGGCGTACGACAATTACGACTGTTGGAGGAGGATGAACCCCCAGTGAATATAAGGAAATCTATGCTGTAAAGGAGGGTGCGAGTGTTGACGGGGGGAGGAGGCCAGGGGGGGAGGAGCAGAAGCAGCTTTCCCGGGGAGAAACCATGGGAAAGCGTCAGCCAACCAGCTCAGTCGATCGTGATCGATGTATGTATGCCTGTAGTAGGCAGTGGGCGTATTTTGGCGCGAGTACGATGATGTCAAGGCGTGGAGATCCGACCAGACAGATCAACGGGGCCGCGAAGAACAATGAAAAGAAAGTAGAAGGAGAGAAACGGGCGTCGTGGGGCCTCCCTACACAAGGAAGAAAGGAGCAGAGGATTACAAGGGGAGAAGAGAAGAAAGAGGCAAGAAGATGGGATGAGATGGATATGGAAATGGCCAGGCAGAACCAACATCACGCACTTCGGAATAGCCACACCCTCCGTCCACAGCGAGAAGCCCCTTGGCCAGCAGCAGCTCCGCCAACAGGTCCGAGCGAGGAGGCAAACGGTAGGCAGGAAAAGCTCAGTCCAGGCCAGCGGCAAGGGCTTGGCCAGCCAGGCCCTCCCGCCAAGGCTGAAGGACTATTACTAGCTACATGGGAGACCATACCCAACCGTACCTGCGGAATTGTATTGCAGCTAGGCACCACCACACCCCAGAAACACGAGCAGGCAATAAAAAGAAATTGGTCGCGTGCCTGTCTGGGCTTCCAGCAGTCCTGTATGCCCCAGCTAGCTGCACCTGGGACCCTCCCTCCCTTCCCGTCCCGCGGCCGCCTCTGCTGTGTTGGACGCCTCCGTGGGCCAAAAAGAAAAGAAAGCAGCTAGCGGGTGCTGGTTAGATGCCAATCCTGTCCTAGTATGCCCAATAACCAACAACCAGCACCGCAGCGCATGGAGGAGGTGCGCTGGGGTCCACCAGCCAACACCAACTAGCATCGCCCAAAAAGCATTTGTCGTTGACGAGGCACGCGATCACTTTCGCAGCCAGCCATATTGACTCAGGTCAGAGTAGGTCGCTGCTGAGTCATGGCTGCTGCACAACGAGCGAAAAGCGCCCCTAACACAGCCGCTGGCATAAGTTCCTCACCGGCTTTTACCGCGGACGCACTAATCCCCCCGATATTGCGGGGGCTGAGCCACTAAACCACAGGCACCTCAACCCCTAACTCCAGGCCAAGCCTGCTGCCTGTGGGTGAATGCAGACCTGAGGAGTGGCGGCCTGTTATAATACTTCGGATTTGTAAACAGTCAATGCATGGGATCGGCTTGGCTCTCACCAATATGGAAGCCGCGGCAGGAACCAGATACTGGAAGCAAATTAGCACTTGCCTCCAGGTCCCTGCCTTCTCTCCACCCCCTTCAATTTTGTGCTTGGGCGACCGACTGTTGCGGCTGCTCGTAGCTCTTCACGACCAGCCCATTTCAACACCCAGCTAGTGCTCACCCGTACAGGACCGGTACACAGTCAAGCAGTACAGTATAGATCAGCCACTCGGGCAACCGCCCAGGAGCTCGGACGAGATCTTCTCGATCAATCGCCTACCTGGGCGTTTAGGTAGCTCCTACGTAACAGAAATCTCCACTGGATTGATTGCCCACACATTGCGAGTCGGCCTTGTTGGGTTATTGCTCTCCAACTGCTCATTAACTCACGACAGCACGGCTGGATCTGGCAGGCAGAAACACGAAGGAATGTCCATGGGATCTCCTGTATCTGGCAGACAGCGAGCCATGGAAGTACATGTTATAAGCTCCGCCGTGCCCTGGACTAAAATCGATACATTTCCTACACAACGGTACGAGTATGCTTATTCCTGCATGGACAAGCTGACCGGGACCTATGTCCCAGAGGCACGCGACCACAGCGAGCTCGCCCTGCTCCGTGAGCCTGCAATGTCGATTGTAATGGCTGGACCCGAGCTATCGTTGCAGAATACGGCATAGCCCAACCCAATGGTGCCGGGAGCCGAATGCCAACATGTCGCCATCTGCTCTGAGTGGTAGCAGACACACCGTGATGTGGGGTGAGACAGCCGGGGTTGTCCGGACATGCCTGCACCTGAAGTTGCTCATCACTAAAACTCAAACAAATCCAGTGGAAACACATCTTACATCGCTGTCCAGGAGCAGAAGGTGACACCACCGATACTATCGACGTCCCCTCCGCGTGGCTGTTTCCTCCCAGGGCTCTGTTTTCGTTTGGCTTGGTGAGATGGATGCAACCCTCAGACCGTGTGTGCGCCAACCCGGCCAACGCAACCGGCCCAGCCTATCCCTAACCAAAGCTTTCTCTTCTCTGAATAAGGCTGACACGACCCTGTCGTCAATGTGGAGCTCGATTTTCAATCCAGTGGCGGAGAGCTGGACCGCCGCTGCATTGCATCCTTTTTTGCACTTCACCCATTCTCCACAAGGAGCTATATACTTAGTGTGTCAATATATCCCAGCACGCAATTCGAACACACAAGTACTATCTACGCGCCATAAGCACAGACTGGCAATCGTCCGCAGCATCGGAGCAAATCACCAAGATCCCATCAAGCCAAAACGCATTAAAATAGCAGTAGCGCGACGCCCCCAGACCGACTAGCATGAGATGAATGCCAAAAGCACTGCCACTTCCCATGAAAAGGAGAGGCATTGTTCTTTCTTTTTTTGGCAGCCCGATATTCGTAAATCACTCCCTAACAAGAGACCTGACACGAATCTATACGCAGTATACGCTTAATGTGAGGGGCCGGGTATGGTTCCAGAACGGCCCTAGGCCTCTCCCCCCCTGGTTCTGGCATCTTGGCACGTTCCATCCAGCCATGCGTTCGTACGTAAACAATGGTCAAACAATGACCACACCGCACATGGGAAAATCAAGGAATCATCATCAATCACGACACTCTCCTCCCCTTTACCCCGCCTCTACGCCAGATCTTGGCCGCTCCTTTCGGTGAGGAAACGGCGAGCGCCAAGAGCGCCAGCGTTTCTCTTTTGCCATATCCGGACCAGGCCGTATGTAGTAGCGATCTCGCTGTGCTACTGTACCCCGTGTCGTGTTTTTTAATTGGGGCACACACCGGCCAAGCGCCGTTTAAAGTCGTGGGAAGGGGAAAAATCACGATGCTGAATAAGGAATACCGCCTCCCCTGAGCGTGCCATATATGCCCCCCTATCCACTCCCTCTCCTCTCCCCTATCCACCTCTTCGCCTTCCATGGGTTCCGCGCTAGTAAATATCCGAGAACTGGACGCGAGGGGAAACGACCGAAGAACTGCTCTGCTCTACAAAGTTCCAAAAAACGCTCTCGGTATCTCGGCCCCGGACCATTTCGCTGGATAACTCCACCCACCCATGGCGATGTCATCATAACCAGTCTGGGGGCCGAGGGCCAGAGCCTACGTAGTTGCATGGCTTCGCTGTTAATTACTGCTCGTAGCATGAACAGATGTCAAGGTGTAAGACGAGTGCGAGAATCATGACAAATCGGTTTGTTTGAAACACCAAGGTGCGCTGACTGTTGCTTACAAGGCCATGACTACAATGCACTGCCCACATCCGACAAATGATGAGGCCGAATCGAACGAAGTGACCATGTTTTGATATTCGCCTGGGAGGAGGAGATAATTTATGTTTATATTTATTTTAGTTTGCATGTGTAACTTGTGATCGAACCACGCCGCCGCCATGAGATAAGTTGGGCTGGTATCCCAGATACATCCCCCTCTTCGTGCACAGCTCTCCGTTCCATCTCCTTTCTCCGTCTATCACCGACGGAGAATCTATCACAATTTAGTACACCGTTCGTCCGTGTTCGCATTCACTGCTGGGATCTACTAGAAATTTTGGGGAATTGCCTGCGCGGTGCTTTACAGCTTGCCTGGCCTTCATCATCATCCCCCCAGCAAAGTATCCAGAGTGTTGTATTACCTTAACCCGAAATTATTACCCCGAGGCATGAGGATGCGTGCGACAAACTCCCTGTGAAATGGTATGTACCATGGTAGCGATTGCCGACGCCTGATTCTAGCAGCTGCTATGCCTTCGAGTAAGTCCACCTCTTCAACTCTCAGTAGGTGGCTTGCATAGTATGCAGCTATAGATAGCAGGTGTAGGCGATGTAGAGGCAGATTGAAACAAGAAAGATGTCGTGAGGAGGATTCCAGAGAGTAGGCGATGGTCTGAACGGCTTGTCACCCGTGATCTCTTCCAGCCGCTCATGCTTCCGGGGGTCGATAGAACAACAAGGCCTTCCTGTTCGCACATGGCCCTATCTCGGGCCACTCAGCCTTCTTTGCCCCAGCAAGACACCGCTCCAAGTCTGCCTCAAGGAACTGTGCAATCTCTTCGCTGTCCCACACAATCTCCCTCCTCCTCCGCAGCCGTAGCAGGGTGATGGCCCGCCGCCGCACCGCCGTGTCCGTACACGAACCGTACACGACGATCAGCGCGGGGATGAGGTCGGCGTGCAGAGTAAAGACACGCATCGTGGACGGGGTCATGGACAGCAGCCGCTCCACCTGGTCCATGACTTTCGCACACTCATCCGGCTCCATCGTAGGATCCGCATCCCACGACTCCTCCTCGTCGTCGTCCACCATCAGCCTCCACATGTGCCGTTGCAGCCGCAGGTTCAGAACCTCGTAGCTCTCGTCACTCTCCAGCCCGAGGGCTTCCAGCGTCTGCTCGAAGCGGGCCTCCCACACCAGGAATCGCTTCTTGACCGTCTCCCACGATGCCCGCTCCACCTCTCTGTGCTCCAGCGGCACGTCTGCCCACTTGCCTCCCTCCTCTGCCGCCCACTCGGTGTCGTACATTTGCATCTCGATTTCCGCCAGCTCGTCCCATACCTCTTCCAAGCTGGCAAACGGTTTATCAGCCGCCTCGCTGTCCCCGGCGGCCGGGTTCGCGAAGGACGCAAGATTAGAGAGCAGCTTGTCGTATGTGAACGGC